CCCCCCCATCACACACAGGCTCTCCTGTTCAGGTAGGGTGAGCCAGTAGCTAGAACAAACATCCCACTGAGAGGGGCTTCAGAAACCCAAGGTCACCCTGTGAGTTGGGGAGGAGAAGAGAATGAGTCAGGGACCAGAGGCTGAAATTAGCAACAATTCCCAGGGATGCTGGGGGAGGGTAAACAATGGCATTCCTGAACAGAATCAGCTCTAGAATCCTGGGGTCTCAGCAGCTTTGAAACAGGGATACTGAAAATAGCCCCAGGAAGTATCACTGGCCAAGTCTCACCTCAGAGCCCAGCAATCCTGGCCCACACTTGTCTGAGAATAAATGGGGCAGAAGGGAAAGGGACCAGTCTAGGAGTGGGGAGCTAGAGGGAGCAGCCCTGTGCCTCCGGAGTGGGTTCCTGCCTACCTCATCACCCAGGCCCACTGGTTCCATGGGGAAACAATTGTCAGACAAGAGGGTGGGTTTAGGAAAGCTAAGCTCACTCGGCTTCGCAAGGGAAGATGAACAGAAAGGGATTAGATATCTTGGGAGGATTTCCCAACCAAATAAGAAAAAGCCACCAGCCATGATCTACCAGGATATCACAGAACAAAAAGGTACACTCTGCCTTTTAGCACAGACATGGCTTCCCTCTCTGTTCAGTCCCTACTACCCAGGACTTTGGAATAGGCACACACATAAAACAGAAGGGAAGACCTCTCCTACTGCCTGTGGTTCACCTCTCCTCCTCTTCCCACCCTTACCCTCATCTGCTACTTCACTCAGCCCCCTTTCAACCAAAAACTGTCCCCAGCAATCAATGCCCACCACTGTCTTTCCTAACCAACCCAGAGGAAAACAAATGGACAGCCACAACCACAACCTCTTATTTGCATATATTTGCATAATGTTAACAATGCAGCCCAGAAAGGATTGCAAACACATTTCCAGTGCACAAACCCAACTCCTTGGAATGGTTTACCACACTGTATATTGAGGCTGGAAACCAAGTTCAAAGTTCACATCCTGCATTGCGCCCTTGGGCAAGTGACTAATTTTGTGTGTGCATGCTGGTGCCTCCATGTGATGCTGGGAATCGAACTACGGTCCTTTCCAAGAGCAACAAGTGCTCTTAACCACCGAGTCAACTTTCCAGTCCCTAATTCTTAACCAGTATGCATTAAAATGTGACCTAGAGGGACTGGGGAGATGGCTTAGTGATTGAGTGCTTGCTACTCTTCTAAAGAACCTGAGTTCAGTTCCTAGCACCCCTGTTCCTCCTGCTCCAGGTATTCAACACCCTCTACTGGCCTCCACAAGCACCCACACACATATGGTATGCACATGCCATGCACAAAAATAAATATACATGCACATGAAAATAAAATATTTTTTAAAAGCAGTCTAAGCCAGGCAGTAGTAGCACTTGCCTTTAATATCAGCACTAGGGAGGCAAAGACAGCTGGATATTTGAGTTCAAGTCAAGCTGGTCTAAAGAGTGAGTTCCAGGACAGCCATGGCTACACAGAGAAACTCTGTCTCAGCCCCACTCCCTCCAAAATAAATAAATAAAAGTGATCTGGAGACAGCAGATACCAACATCACCTTGGGCCAAAATGTAGACTCCAAATTTCACTGCATGTTTGTGGAACCAGAGGAAGACATGCATTTTTTAAATGTATTACTCATGTGTGTGTGATGAGAGAGAGAGAGAGAGGATGCAGGTGTCTATGGCACATGTGTCGACCTTCACGTGAGTCCTGAGGACTGAACTCGGGTCATCAGGCTTACCCCAGCGCTCTCTACTGCCTGAGTCATTGTCCTGGCCCAGAGACAGGAGTTTCTAATAAACACCCTAAGTGATTCTTAAACACTCAACTTTTTACTCTAGAGCTGCGATCTCTTCAACTGAAAAGTAGTGAGGCAGTCTCACAACAATATTAAGAGAAATAAAGGAAATAAAATGTGCAACAAGCCTGCGCAGGCAAAGGGTCCCCATAAATACAGCCTGGATAGGAATTGTGTGCCAGCATAATGGTTCCCACTCTGCCCCAACAACAGAACTTCAAACCCAGCAAGCACCTGCCTGTTAAGCCTCAGCCTAGGAGAAGAAATACAGCTTAGATGGAGGAGGTAACAGAAAACGTCAGTGACTAGAGTGTCTCTACAACTGAAAACCTCACTTGATTCTCACAAGCATTTTAGGAAAGAAGGAAACGCCTTTTGCCCAAGGTCAAAAGACTTGTCAGTCTCAGGTCAGCAAAGCCCACAATGCATACTTAAGTTAAGGGAACCTATGTCCCTACACTTTGACGGTATTAGGGCAGTACAAGTCTTACAGTGTAATTAGCTTGTTGAGAGGCATAGGGCATTGCAGCAGAGTCTCAGTCTTAAGTGTTCTAATTGTCTGGACCTGTCAGTGAACTCATAGGCCATTATCAGTGTGACCTCAATTGTTCCTGGTTATCTTGGTCTCCATACTCAGAGCACACACTATATGCTCAATAAAAGTTCATCATCTGAGGGCGGTGGTGGCGCATGCCTTTCATCCCAGCTCTCAGGAGGCAGGGGCAGACAATCTCTGAGTTCCAGGACAGCCTGGGCAACACAGAGGAACCCTGTCTCCAGAAAAAAGAAAAAAAAGAAAAAGAAAAGTCATTGACTAGAGTTGTAGAAGACTAATCAGAAGGAAGGCCGCCTGCCAGAGCTTACAAAATGACCCCAGACAGGCTTAATGGTGAGCCCTGGAACAGGAGTGGAACTGCAGGATGACTTTGAACACTTAAGTCCCACCTTCTCTGGCTGCGATTGTACCCAGGAACACATACATGCAGAGCTCCTATGGAAGTCTGAATGAAACATGATCCAGGCATCAGAAAGAGGCAGGGAGGAGAAAGATTAAAGAGCAAATTTGACAAAACAAGGAATCTAAGTAGAGGAGCTGGACTCAGGCAACTGAGAGGATCCAGATGCTTAACTGCCCCCTCCTAAAGTCAAATACACATGTGGGCACACGTGCACGCGCGCGCGCACACACACACACACACACACACACACACACAAACATACACACACCATATGCTAGGTAACAAGGCCTCTTCCATCTCAAAGTCCTTCTGAGCGAAGACCCCCCCCAAGCCTTACTGGCTAAGGAAAGTTCTTCTCTCGACCCACAGCACTAGTCCAACCCTGTGTTTCAGACCTCAGAGAACTGGCTCATGAAAAGCTCCTCCCTGGAAAATAAGACAAGCCTCCAGGAAAACTGAAGTTTCCCAGAATTCCTTCTACCCCATTCATACCCATTTCCCCATCATAGTTCCATCTTCACTTTCAGTACCTTCTGATCTTGACCCTCAGTAAGTCCCAGTATCCCCTGGCTCTGATTGGACCAGAAGACTCTGAAAACAATAACCCTTACACAAAGACCCCAGTCCATTCCTATGGGTCACAATGTGACTGGCAATCTGAGAATTTCCAAAGTTGCCTGTCACTACTTCCAGTACCAAGATGCCACAAAGATCTCTGTAGGCAGGGGGCTTAGAAAAAGACTGCTTCAACCCAGGTGGCTGATAAGAAGACAGAGAAAGGGCTGGAATATAGTAGAGTTCAGTGGTAAGGACCGGAGTCCCCTCCAGGCCTGGTGTGCCCCCCACATCCCACCTGCAATCTCCGCACTTGGGAGCAGAAACAGGAAGAATGTTGTCAGGAGCTCAAGGCCAGTCTGGGCTACAGAGTGGAGGAGGGGACACAGGACAGGATGGGAAAGAGAGAGAGAGAGAGACTGAGAGAGAGACTGAGAGAGAGATGGGGGCTGTGGGGATGCAGGCATGTGAGGTCTTAAGGATTCCAGGGATCAAGAAGGAGAGAGAGAGAGGAAGCCCCTTGAAGATACCTGTCATAGAAGTAATGAACAACAGAGTGGAAACAGGAGCGTTCACAAGCAACCACCCCTCTCCTGCCCCCCTTCTTCTGCCTCCCCTCTCTTCCTGGCCTCTCCTCTCGCACCCCCCCTCCTGCTCCCCCTCTCCTGGCCTCCCCTCTCCTCCTGCACCCATCATTCCTCCTCTCCTCCTGACACCCCTTCTTGGTCCCTCTCCTCCTGCCTCCCCCCTCCTCCTGGTCTCCTTTCTCTACCTGCCTCTTTTCTCCTGATCCCCCTCCTCCTGCTCCCCACTCTCCTACTTCCCCCACACCCTCTTCTCCTGCCTCCTGTCTCACCACTCCCCCAACCCCTCTCCTCCTGCCTCCCCTTTCTTCCTGCCTCATCCCTCCTCCTGGTCTCTCTTCTTTCTCTATCTGCCCCCCTCTTCCAGCCTCCCCCTCTTCTCTACCTGCCTCCCATCCCCTGTCTTCCACTCCACTGTCCTCCTGCCCCCTTTCTCCTCCCGTCCCTGGCACTTACCTGAGGATGGGCCCCTGGAGGTGACTCCTCTGGACAGGAACAGGGTTTGCCATGGAAATCAAAGTTCTCTACTTCAAAGTATCAAAAAGCTGACCCCAGGGCCCAAGGGCCCCTACTGGGGAACAACTCCCTCTTGAACCCCCAGAACTTCCTCTTCCAGGTCCCAGCAAAACTGAATGACAAACCAGAGAGCACTTTTTGAACAGGGAACTGGAAAGGCCTGACTAGGGGGTGATGAGGCAGAAACCTTAACCCACAGGAACTGGGTGAGAGGCCGCGGGAAAAGTTTCACATCTGAATCAGACTGAAAACAAGAATCTGCTGTCAGAAGAGTCCCAGAAAGGCCAGAAATAGCACAGGCCAGCCCCTTGCTCTGAGGAGGTGGGGCTCCTCTTTGGGAAATAGGGATTAGCAGGCAGTGTCCGGAGGAGGCAGGGACAGCGACCATCCTGAATCTGTCACGGAAAAATCTATGGTAGGAGTGGAAGAGGCCCAGCCGGAGTCCAGAGGGGCTAAGCAGATCCAGCTCCTGCAAATCTGGGCTTCTTCTAGGGCCATTCTCCCAGGAGCCTTGGTTCGCCTGAGAGAATTCACAAGGAAGGACAAGATGAACTCCGCAGAGAATTAGAAGCAGTTGGGAAGGGGCTTGCAGAAGCTAAAGGCCAGAGAAGGTTCACAGGTAGAGAAGAGCGCCCCACTCCACAGAGAATGAAAGTTAGGGGAACTTGTTCAAAGAAAGAATATAGGTGATGGGCGGGGCCTGGCAGTAACAACAAAACATACCTGAAGCTAGCCAAACTACTCCTAGCCCTGATTTTCTCATCTTACATACAGAGACTGGGGAAAACCGTGAATTAACCAGAGTGAGGTCAACACAGTTCAGAAGAGGAGTGATGGCCCGGGGGGGGGGGGGGGGG